ATCCATTCGTGCGAGCGTGAGCGAGAGAGAGAGAAAGGCACGGCGAGCTGCGTGGAGTGGCGCGGTGAACTCGCTGTGGCTCTTTCTCTCTCTCTCCCACCCGCTGTTCTTTTGTATTCCAAGTGAGATTGAATCTTGCACTAGAGGGCGACAAGATTCATTCCCATTTTGGTCTCTTTCTCTCTCTCTCTCTCTTCATTTCTTAGTTTTTTTTGCTTTTTAGAATGTCGGTTTTTTTTTTTTTTTTTTTTTTTTTCCTGGTTTGTGAAAGGAAGAAAATCCTGCTATTGGTAGCTCTAGGCTCGACAAGGCTCGACTTACTGGCAGCTGGAGGCTTGGACTTGATAGTTGGGCGAGGTACTAGTGGTTTAATGGACAACGACAGGTTAGTGGGTGTCATATCATACTGCAGGGGATTGGGGACCCGTGGCGCTGCGTTAGCCTTTGCTTCGAGTCTGCAGTAAGGTACTGCTATACTGCCTGTACGGTAGCGGCTTGCACCGAGGGAGAGCTCGCTACAATTCATTTCCTTCTCCATGGTTTTCACCGTGGTAATTTGAACCTTTTTACAGAATGGAAGGACGGGGACAGCCATAGCCAGCATTGTTTTGTAATGATCTGAGCTGGAAGAAGTATTGGGTGAAGGAGGAACATGCCTAGCAAAGATGGCTCATGCATGGGTGGTAGTTGATATCATAGTAGAGGACTTTTTCCGCGCTAACTTCTTACGGGATTGGAGAATCTTCTAGGATCTTGAAACTTTATCTTTGAACTAAATATTACTTCATATCCAGGAGACTTACTATCTGTTTCTGTTAAATTAAGACATATTGGTTGGAGATTCAATGATAATGTTGTCATGTTGTTCGCATCGTAAGAGTTTGCGTGGTAAGTTGGTAAAAATAACTCCGAGCTGCTCCGCTATCCGTCCGGGTACGTGATTAACATCATTTAATTATGTTAAATGTTTCCTAGTTCCGCTAGCCATCTGGGTTACGTGATGAACATGATTTAATTTCTCATGAAACAACAACTTTGTAGGAGCACCTTAAGTGTACCTATGGGTTCTGGTGTTCGTCGTGTTTTTTATTTGCTCTTTTATCCCAGCATTAGACTTGTTGATGGCGTACAGTGCGCATGTTGATAGTTGTTCACTCAATTTTAGTTACTTTCCTTCAATCCTTTAAGTCACGTTTTTTTATGAGGTTAGTCGTCTTAGACATGAAGCTCTGTTAATAAAACTCAGTGTTTCAAGACGTAAGTTTATTTCGATGTTCATCGCCTTTTTCAACTTTGTTAGCAAACACTTTGTCTTATGCTTGTTGTACAAGAGCTCGATGTCCTTACCGCCTTTCATCTCACAATAGGGTTTTCCGGGGTGAAAACGCCTACGCGTTTTGTCACTGGAGACATTGCTCACAGGTACACTCGCCTAATTTTTCAGAGTCTCCTTTGAGCGTCAGTTCAACATGGTAGCATTATCAACACAACTATATGGTTTACATCATCAACAAGTATGTCGGCGAGTCTCGAATAGCACCAACCGGTAATGTAGCAACAATTAACATGGGTGAGCAACTTCAGCCAGAAGTCGTAATGGATTAGCCTTTGCGAACAGGTGCCCACTCTCGTCCACTAGCCCTAGGCAGTTCAAAATTGGCAGAAAACAAAGTACTAAAGTTGTTGGCACAATGTTATGAAGAGGGAAACATCCTTGAGGATGTCCCCTGTGAAGACGTAGAGATTGATGGGCGTGAGGCGATCTTTAAAGTAAACCTAAAATTTGACCAGATTAAAGCAAGTTGATTGAATGAGAATGGATGGTTGAAGGATGGTATCTTTGATCCTCAGGGCCAGAGAGGCGTTGTGAAATTCAAAGGGCCAAATGTATTGGCATACGCGTTCAGGGATAGAACTGTAGCCAACTGGTTAAGAGAACAGAGGGAAAATGAGCTTTTGCGCGTCGGAATCTCATTCTCGATGAGCTTCAGGCTATGGATAACAAGGTTAGAATGGCGAGAGTTTAAACGAGTAGAGTTGCTCAACAATTTTTGGTAATGGCGAGAGTTTAAACGAGTAGAGTTGCTCAACAATTTCTGGTAATGGCTCTACAGGTACCTCTGGATGCAATAGTTTATACAAAAGCTGCAATCAGGAGGGTTGTGGCGACGATAACAAAAGATCACCAGTCTATGCACGATATATTCACGTGTGAGCTGACAATTTAGAGTTTGTGTGATAGAATGGTAAATCAAATCTGGGTGAGAACTGACAACGATGACATGCGTGAGGTCAAGCTTGTGTGTTCCTCAACTCCATGGTGCCACAACTGCAGAGGCTTCTTTCACGAAGAGGACGAATGTACCAGGATCAAAGTGGATAATATTCAAAATCAAAGGAGTGCATTCAAAAATCAAAATAACATTACTATAGTTGGAGGAATGAATTTTAATGTCAATCAAGATCATGGTTTTAATGCAGGTAGACAACAACAACGTCCTCCAAGTCACCAAGGTATAGGGAACAACCAGTATCAAGGGAATCTTGCCATGGGCAGGTCAGCTCAATCCGCAAGGGATCTCAGGCGAAAGGACATCACGGTGGGCCAATACCAAGTTCCTACCTCCCAAACGCAACATGCCGCTCATAACATCAGGGCCAACCTGCTTTTCTCCCCAATGCGAAGATATCCAACTGGACAACTAAGAGGAATGGGACGAGGCAGGGTTGCTGGGGCAGTGGAGGAACGTTGCTGTGACCGGTCTTTATAACAACCCACAGGGTAACCTGAGAGCTGATGGTTATTATACAACGCAAGAACACTTTTCGACGGGTGGAGGACCGACTTCCGCTAACAGAGCTACCTATGACTCTATCACCGGAAGACCAAGAGGTAATGAGATAGTAATTTCCGAAGGAGGCCAAGGTGGTTTTCAAAACCCTCAGGCTGGCCCATCATCATGAGGGCAGGGAGACTCGTAAAGTCTTTGGTTGCGATCATGGGGAAGGTTCAAGTAGAGGCGTGGGCAACATGACCGGGTTAGCGGCAAAAGGATCTCAGGCTTTGGTTGCGAGCTATGAGGAATCTCAGGGGATTATAAGACACGCACTTACTTCGCCAAAAATCCAAATAGGTGGAAAGATGTTTTGAGATCGTCGGGCTCTTACAGTTGGGGAAGCCTTTCTCAGTGAATGCCCGGAGAACCACTTGTTTTCGCACCCGCGCCGGCTGCGATATCTTGTCTGCGTACACCCTTAACATAGGGGCTGTAGCATCGCGAACGGCGACAAGTCCGAACGCTCTGCCAATGCCGAAAACAGATGTGTTGTTGTCAAAAGTTTTGCCTTACGCCCACATGTACAACGCGTACGCGAGGATCTGCTCGGGCTGAAGTGGCTTCTTGTAGAACGTTAACTGTCTTTGTAGATGAGGTGCACACTCTTCGGTAATTTCCAAGAAAGCTGTAGTGGACATGAGAAGCTTCTTGCGAAAGTACTCGTTCGTAGCATCATCGCATACCTGCAAATCTTCCCAAGTCCCACCCGTTTTCCACTTCATCCACCACCATGGAGTGGCCCGAGGGACCACACCGCACCTGATCGCTGTGCATAGTTGAATGACGACCCCTCTGCACCATCATCCTCTACCTCTCCCTCAAAATCGTGACCTTCATGCGCTTTGGCACTCTCTCCCTCTGATTGTGGATGACCACGGCCATGGCAGTCGCCGCGACAACTGTCTTCTCAATGGATGTCAACACTGCGCGACCATGTGCACGAGAACCCTCCATAGCACTCCCCCAACACGAGAACGGAGGTCCACCGTTTACCTGCCGCCTTCACCTCCACAACCGTAACCGGATGGGTGTACACTGTGCGTTTCCACAACCGTGCTGCACAAAGAACTTCACCAACAGACGTCTCCGCTGACATCCGCTCCCATTCGAGCCTGCCGCGCGCCCTAATATAGCGACCCCAGGTGACGATGTCTGGCTATGCTTTTGTGAATTCGTGGAAGCTTCAGGTTGGTTTCCTCTCTGTTTTAGTATCGACTGTATAGTCACTTGCTCAGTGGTGTTGGTGTTGATTTTTTTCGTTTCACCACTTTTTTTTTGTGTAGCATTCCTTCAATTCTTTGGCAAACTAGACGACTGTCCCGGCGTGGTTAGGGTTATTCAAGGCGTGATTTCTTTTACAGTAAATATGACACTGTAATTGATCTGGGCCGATTAGGGTTGCTGGGTTGGAGTCTTACTGTGTTCCTGAATCCATTTAAACCGGTATTGTATGCTGCTCTTGAACTTTATCACACTAGCTTAGGGGTAGTGGGGTCTAAGGATTTCAATAGAGGATTGATGGGATCGAGCTTTTGGGGCTCTGTTTGGTGCACTGTTAGGGCTTTTTACTGATTGAATTGCTTTGTTAAGCCACGGTCAGGGCTTTGCTTGGCCGGAGAGCCTCGCTCAGCCCAACTACTGTGGCCAATGATGTAAGGGAAGCTGGGCCCGTTTCTCGGCATGTATCCAATTTTTTTAATTAAAAAATAAAATCAATTTCATTTAAATTCAATAGCTGAGGCCAGAATCCTCGCATTACTTTGGGGAGTATCTGGAAGCATCATCCAGCATAGCTTACAAGTACAGAACCTGCAGGTCAATTTTTTTCTTTTATTTTTCTGCATAGCATTTTTTTTTTTTTTTTTTTTTTTTTTTTGCAGGGACCTTCTGTGGCCCTTGCCTGACCAGGCCACATGGGCCACCAAGGTGACCCTGGCGGCCGGGTTCGTAACCCAGGCATGCATAAAATTACATGTGTGTAACCTATGTACATACATGAGGGGTGTACAGATGCCATAGCCCCACCTGACATGTATTGACATCCATCCAATCATTGAGCGTACCTGTTGTTGCCATGTCATACCGTTGCTGATGTGGCAGTGAGGATGACCACATCAGCAACGGCATGACATGGAGTCTATTGAGAGTACTTAGGCTGAATGGTGGTGAAAATCTGCAACTGAGTTCTCAGGTTGAACACAAGGGCATATCGGCAAAATGACAACCATAGCAGTCGTCTTCCCGCGTATAGAGGCATGGTCAGTTTAGCTGCAATCGGGTCAATTTCCAGTTTACATATAGCGATATTGTCAGTCCGTTCCATTCGGGGGAAGACGCTAGCTGCGCAGAAGCAGCAGAACGAGCGTTATTGTCTTGAGGGGGGAAAAAATTGGGTTATTGCCTCGCTCTACAACAACATAGTCTATATGTATCTAGACAGGAAGGTTAACGACATGCATTTGGACTGACACGATATTTCGACTAAATCTTGACGGTCCATTATTAGCGCCGGGTACATCGACAAGCTTGTGCAGTGGAGCGAGGCCCCTAGTGATGCGAACAAAACAAATGCTTGATTGTGCCGTGGTGCGAGTGCCCTGCCTACTGTTTTCCCCCAAACAGAACGCGCCCTGATAATGAATGTATACAAGCTATTTTTCGAGTCCGGTGTGGCCAAAATGAGGGCAAAAGTGATGGTTAATAGGAATGTGGCTCCCCCTATAGCTCTACAAAGATCTGTGAGGCAAGGTGACCCAATTGCGCCACTCCTTTTCGTAATAGTCATTGAAGCCCTGACTGCTAACCTCCGACAACACAAAGATATTAAGCGTATCCAAGTGTCATCCATCCCAAAGGAAGCAATCCCTGTTTGCTCCCTGTTTGCTCCCTGTTTGTTGATGACCTGTCTCCGATGGTTGATGCGTCTCAAGAGAATCTAGAAACAATCAAAAGAATTATGGATGAATTTTGCAAACTCTCAGATTTGAAGGTAAATTGGGGAAATAAAACGCTGGGATGGTGGATTATCAAGGAGTAAGGCCTCCAGAATGACCACTGATCAAATGGCTTCCTCCTGAAACACCTATCAAAGTCCTAAGGATCTCTCTCTCAGCACTTGGCAAACCCTTATCTAACAATGCTGGGATTTTACAACAAGCACATTCAAAATTGGAGATATGGAGGGACAAACATACCTCGTTACTGGGTAGGACTTCAACCATTAACAATGTGGTACTGGCCTCAATTTGGTATAGATCAGTGATCTGGCCCTTGGACAAAACAACCATTAAGGTTTTTGAACGACAATTGGCTGCCTTCCTCTAGCGAGGAAATCACGAATGTGAAAATGCCATTAGTAGGGTGGCATGACTTTCTATAATCCAGCCCAGAGCCAGAGGTGGTCTATGCATCTTAAACCCCGCAACCCAAGCTATGACCCTGTCCATTCAATGGTTAAAACACCTCTTATACAATCCCCGGACCTCTTGGAGTAAATTGGCAGTTGAGCAAATCAGAAGACTAGCTCCATCCACTTCAGAGGAGGTGGATCCACTCATGTGCTTAGAAAACCGCTCCTGGTCGCTTCCGAGGAGCACCACATTAGAACCCCATCACCTGAAACTGTCCGACCGACAAGCAGCCAAGAGAGATATTGCCAGGGACCCATTTTGGATCAACTTGATTAAAAATTGGAGGAAATTGCCTCTCCCAGACAAGACAGCTCCTGAGAGTTTGGAAAAGGTCTGCTAACAACCATTGTTTAACAATACATTTATCAGGGATTCTCAAGGGTGGACCCTCAACTGTTCGGACTCACCATGGAAAGGATGGTTTAAGAAAGGAGTGACACGCATTAGAGACGTCTGGATCGTTGAGAACAGGGATTGGATTGGTTTGTCGACCCTCCAGGGGAGATTAAGATATTGCCATCATCATAAGGAAGCTCTAGAACAATTAATTGATATAATTTCCCTAGATTGGGTCAGAATCTTGAGAAATGGACCGAAGCTTATCCCAAATGACTGGGTATCCATCATCGATCAACAAGGGATTGTGGGAAATGTAATTGAAGTTCGCAACACAGGGGATATTCTTATATCCATCTTTGATCTAGGGGAGGATGGTTTCCTCAAGGCGAGATCACAAGAGCACACGGGGTGGGTCAAAGCAAATAGAGTTTTCAAGATCAGGGTCCTTATGATAAGGAAAGTTGGCTTGCCTTTAAACAAGGCACACCCATCTCTCATCTCCCTTTAGATCCGGTTTGCCGGATCTGGTCCTCCTCAAATGGTACGGGGCGCTTTTACGTAAGGACACTTCACACCCTGTCAGTGAAGTCTACCTATAGGATGCTTCGTCCTAAAATAAACCTAAAAGACAAAATAGAAGATCGTTGGATGAGACATCTAAACGTAAGTAGAGAAAAATTGCACTCTATTAAGTGGTTCCACTCTATTAAATCCAGGCCAGCTAAAGTAGCGTTGCTGCAATGGCAAATTGTCCATCGCTGTCTCCCTACAAACGACTGGATCATCGATAGAACATCGTTGGAACGAAAATGAGGGCCCTTCCGTGGTGTAAGTTCTGAAAATCAGCCTTCCCATCCAAACTCATACTGGAAACTTTAGAACACATTTTTTTGCAATGCCCAGGCTCAATTCCGCTATGGCGGTGGTGGGATAGGATTTGGAGCCAGTTAGGAACATTCCTCTCTTGGCCCTGTAATTGGAAGGCCGTCCTCCTGGAATCCTGGAATCCGAACCAGGAAGATGCTTTCACTCTGAACCTATTCACAATCAAAAGGCGAGCTGTCATGTGGGCGATCAGGTTACGAAGGTGTACTCATGAAATGGAAGGCGCTCGCCTAGATGGCCCTGAATTCACTGATACTATCAGACACCAGATCCAAACATAGATCACTATCAAACGGGAGTCCCTTAAGGAGAAATTACAATTTCCATCACTAGAAAAAGAAATATTGCATCATATCAAAACATTCAATCAGAACTGGCTTGGAGGGGACCAGGGAGGGAGATTGCGACAGGTGAAGTGGGAAGGAACAAAAGAGAACGCCCAAGAGGAGATCCCAAGGAACTACAGCCTGACCTTCAATGACTGGAGCAACGTTGATCCTACTGTACCTTTAAGACCTCTGTCGGATTTCCCTGATCCCTTCCCTCTCTTGAGCCTTTGCTCAGTTCCCAGGTCGCCGTATGTGTATGAATGATCTGGAAAATCCCTTGCATTGTATGTGAATGTTGGGGTCAGCCTTTCTGAAGAACAAGTGTGATTAAGTGCTAGGAAGATACATATATCTGGCGCTCTCTCAGGGTGAAGAGTTACAAGACTCAACACTCGGTTGCAGATTTCCCACTGGCACTGATCAGAAGGGACGCTGGGCCGATTCCCAGTTTGTGCTGTATCTCGGTCCTTTATTGTTTCTCATGGGACGCTGGACCTGGTTTCCAGTGGTGCAGCTCCCCAGCAATAGAATGGAGCCCCGATAAGTCAGGTAGGAGTGCATGCTCGTATCATCACTCCTACCTGACGCCACGGGATTTGTTCAAAAAAAAAAAGGGTGCGTTGTGTTCGGGGAAGACCGTAGTAGCTACCGACTACTAGTAGGTATGTGTACCATTCTGTTTTTTTCCCCTTCTCTGCTCACAGCCCACTTACGCATCCTTTGGTTTTCTTTTCTCTTTTATTTTTTTGGCCATTGTTTGGTTTTGTACAGAGCTTTCGAAAGGGTGTCGCTTCCGCTCGGCGGGACAAGAGCAAAGGCCGCTCAGCTGGCCTCACAGAGGAGCAGAAACAGGAAATACGGGAGGCCTTTGACCTCTTCGACACTGATGGTTCTGGTCAGTTCAGCCATTCTGTCATTCCCACTTTCTCCCCCCTCATTTCCTCTCCCCTCCTTTTGCCAACCTCTGCCGATCTCTTTTTCATCCCAGACTGTCGTTGCCTCCTTGGCTGTTGTCACGGTGTTTGGGTTCCAGACCCTAAGCAAAACTTTGCCTTGAGGGTATCACCCCCTCTCATAGTGGTCGCTGGTTGCTTAACAAAAAAAGAAAAAAAGAAAAGAGAAAACTAGGGCGCGGTCAGGGGTAGAGTTTGAAAATACATTTCAAACCGCCGTTTTGGAGTCCAGTCCCCTCTGAAGTTTACACTGCAGGCCAAACTCCTCCGCCGCGTGGCTGTCGCAGGGCGGAGTTTGTAACTGCAGTCCAGTCATCCACGTCGGAGGGCCAGGCCATTGTCCAAAAAAA